TCCATGGCTTCCATACATCGTGTCACAATCGTTGGCCCTGGAGTAGAAAAAGATTAACGGGTCAAAGTCTTAAAAGATGTTTTCTGTGCTCTTAAGGTGATAGTAGAAAAATGCTTTAATGGACCACCTTTTGGCTTGGGCAGCATTTTTCAGCTTCCTTCCCCCAGAACATTTTGTCACTGTTTGGATTTATCAATTGATGTGTTTTGGATTTTTTAGGTCTCGATTTTTTTAATTTTCACGGCTGATGAGCTGATCAGATAGTTTGGGGAAAATGTCACTGATGGAGAAATGTTGCAAAAGATAAATCTATAAACATATAAGATAATTTTAATAGGTTAGTTATAAAGATTAACATTTTCAAACAAGATTTTAATACAGCAATGTCAAAGTGATGGCAAATAGCAGCTTCCCTTGCTATCTGCTGTTTTTGTGGCTGCTGGATATTGGCCATTTCAGATTGCAAAAGCCAATAGAAAGCTGGCTATTGCACCCGCCCCAAGGAGAACGTCAGGTCCACCTCTGCTGATTGACAGCAGCAGTGGGTGGGTGCATCCATCCACACTAAACAGCATGGATGCATTGTCAAAATATGATGCACTGTTATATTCTGACAGTCGGTAACCATGGCTGCCATCATACCCAACAGTGATTGCAGATGATTGACTGCTGTCGCTGTGCTGTTCAGCCGACAATTCTCCACCCAGGTACTTCAATTTTGAGATGAAAGTTTGTCGAGCCAGGTGCCAGCAGGGCCCCCATGGATCTAAATGTGGCCAACTCAGCAGAAAGGAGATTAAATTCTATCCGGGAATGGCCAGCCTAAGACTCCAGTGACAAGATTTGTGACTATGTCATGGCAGAAGTGTCACAAAGACTTTTCAGTGGAGTTGAGCAGAACTGCACATTTTGGTGCGCTATCTCTTCAGTGGCATTCCTAAAAATAAGAAGCCAGCTATGAGATTTAACTTTGCCAGCAGCTACACATACACAAAGTATGCGTTTTAGGGTAGGTTCAGCAAAGCATAAGGACACACAAATATTTTTATAGAGGTGGGTGGTAATAAGGACCATGGAACCATTTGTAGTGAGGAACAGATAAATGGTAGAAATCATGTTTACCTATCCGGAGTTCATTCCAGCCATCAATTTGCAGTAGGTATTAGGGATGCACTGATACTGTATTTTTCAGAACGAGTATTCATACTTGTCCTCAAGTACTCACCAATACCAAATGACGAATGATTTTAGGACAATGGTGGAGCGCCAGGGCCTGGTCACAGCTGCAACCCTGGTAGCTCTGCCACTCCAAGCTGAAGAGGGACTACAAATCTCAACAATACATTATACAGCAATACAGAATACCACCCACTATAGAGGAATACAAATTCCAGCAATACATTATACAGCAATGCAGAATGTCACCGGTTATAGAGGACTGCAAATCCCAGCAATACTTTATACAGCAGTGCAGAATAAAATGAAGCTACGTACTCTGTGTTGATCAGGAGTGGCGGCCTGATGTCTCCAGGGTCTCATGTGGGCTGTATTTTCTGTATCTTTGTACAATAGTAATTCCTTTCTAAAACCAAAACATGTCTTATGGAGATATACATTAAAGATAAATTGATCCAGGAAAACAACACTGACCTTTGCAAGTTCCCATGATATTTGGTATCAGTAAGATAGACAGATTGGGGGGGGGGGGGGGGTGGCTATGTATATTGTAACTGTAATAGAACATGCTGTAGCCTTGGGGTATGCTGAAAGTCTGTCAAAGTCAAGATAGGATTTCTGCACTCTTATGTGTATGATTACTGTGTCATTCTCAACACCGGATATGTCAGTTGAGACTCACTATGGTCAAATGCACAAAATGTTCAAAGGCTTGTGAACACCTGAACATCACACATCTGGTGTATGGTCAAAAACTATATTGTCACCCCTACAAATGATTGAGTTCAGGTGTTTCCAGAAAAGGGTACTGTTACATCTACAACATACAAAGACAATCAGGACACTTGTGCTTTTGCAACCTTGTGGCAACGGATTGTGAAAGGCTTTTTCTGTTCTTGACTGTATCCATGTGGACAAAGAGATGAACTGAAATGTCAATTGTGACTCAGGTCTTCTCATCCAACATCCGTACATATTAGTGTTTATATAGTGTGTGTGTGTGTGTGTGTGTGTGTGTGTGTGTATTAAGAACAAACTAACCTAGCAGTATAGGAGTTACCGCAATACTCTGTGCACTTTTCCTATGCATTCAACCTTAGCACCTTGATCAATTAATCAATCAATTAATCAATATGGTATGGTATGGTTCTAGACTGATGTTAATTGTTTAATAATCTGAAATTAAAGATCAGGTCTATATCTCTCCAAGAGGGACATTTGTGCAGCACATGTACCGAGTGCATTAAGAAAAAAAAAGATGTAAACAGTTAAATCAAAATGTATTAAGGAAATGAGAGATCAGCATGATATCAATTATGGGTTATTTCTGCCAAAACACAACCTCATCCCTATTATATTATCTACTCTTGTTACTAAGCCTGATTTCCTGCCACATCTGTTCATACACTAGGATGGAAAGGGAAATGGAGGGGTGGAAATGCAGATTATATCGCTCTTTATAAATTAGAATCTAAACAACAAGAGGAGCGTGAATCCAGGATGTCAGAGGGAATGTAAGATGGGGACTGAAATCTTACAGATCAGACATATGATCACTGCAGATGTTTAATCTGTACATCATCGAGAGACTCGCTTGTCAGAATATCCTGGCTTCAACAGGAGTAAAGGAAATTCTTTGGAAAATACAGTTTTAGTTTATCCGTATTATTGGAATAGCAGTCTATTATGAATCCAAAGTAGAACTTGTGCCAGTTTTCTAGTTAATATTTTCATTTTCAATCTTCTTGTTAATTTCTAGTTAATATTTTATCATGTGCATGGTGTGATGCTGTAGAATTCATATGCTAGTCATTATTTTGCTCCAGTAGTGTATCTCCAATCATGAGAGTCTGGATGCCGCACAGCAACATACCCAACCAGCCTCTTCTGTCTGCTTTTCCTTGTTTGGATTGTATTCTCTCCATCCTGCTCCTCTGTAGTTTATTCCTGGTCTTTCTGCTCATCTCTCCTTTCGCACCTATTCTCCTACCCTGCTCTGGTCTTTATGAAATGTATACTCCATACCCTGCTCTGGTCTTCATAAAGTCTATACACCCTGCCCCGCTCTGGTTTTATTCAAATCTATACTTCCTATCCTGCTCTGGTCTCTATAATATCTATGCTCCTTACCCTGCTCTGGTCCTCATAAAGTCTATACACCCTGCCCCGCTCTGGTCTTATTCAAATCTATACTTCCTATCCTGCTCTGGTCTCTATAATATCTATGCTCCTTACCCTGCTCTGGTCTTAATAAAATCTGAAATCCATAACCTGCTCTGATCTTTATAAAATCTATCCATACCCTGCTCATCTGTTTTTTTTTTTTTTTTTTTTTTTTTTTTTTTTTTTTT